ACCACCTGCAGAGACCTGTATGGCTGTGAATCTGAACAAACAGGACTCACCTTAACCGATCCTACCACCAAAATCCACTTGGGATATATGTGTCCCACATAATTGTATCAAAATCTACATTACCTCAAATTTTTTTGTTCCTTGATTTCTGCATGCCTTGTATTACTGAAAATACATGGTTATCAACAAAAAATTCAAAGCAGAAAATAATTGAGTCATGAAACAGTTAAGTATAGAGATGAACTAATCAAATTTACATTATTGTGCAAGATGATCTGTTCATGCACTTTATTTACAAATACATATATTTTCTCCTCTCTACAAAACAGACAAGTTTTCAAAAGACCACTGGAAGAATTGTGCCAAACAGTATCAAATTCTCCCCAATCCATCATACTACCATTCACTAAATAAAACACAAAACATGGTGAAAAATAACCCATAATTACTGGCAACCTGAGACAACTGGATTCCTTTACAGGGGGTATAGTTCCCAATCAATAACTTGAACAGTTTTACTCAATATCAAACTGAGACTGCACTTAAATAAACAATTCACACAGATCTTTGTTGCTCTAAGCTTCTGTTGTATGCATTGTGACTAATAATTCTGTCATCTCTTCTCTCTGTGAAATGCTAACCCTTGCTAAAGGCACTCATATTCTGGGCTTAACGGAGACAGGGTCACATGGGACCATAAGTCAGTACTTTTTTTTTTTTTTTTTTTTGGTATCTACCCAGAAAAGGAGTATACAGATGATCCTCCCATTCATAATGGGCAGAAAAAGCCACAGCTATCAGTAGAAATGTTTTATGAGAAGCTATTGATACGGCTATTCGTCCATTCAGTTAGAGGGACAGTAATAGCTCACAATGGTAAGGGTTTCCCCAACAAACCAAAGCATTTTTCATTATATATAAAACTCCTGAACAATGATTTGGCTAGTGAAAAAAAAAAGAAAGTCATGTTGTTGTTCTTGAATATTCTGTTCCAAAGCTTGCATTAAATATCTGCCTATAATGACAAAACAATCCTCAGTTTACTTCTAAAGAGGCTCTACAGTCCTTCATACAACTTCCCATGTTCCTAATAAAGTACTTCCTGTCTTAAATTCCAACTTCAAGGAAGTAAAACAGATTAGGTTCCCAATCCAGCATTCCTGAGCCTCTCTGTAGAGAATACTATACAGAATAGTTACATGTCTCCCCTGACATAAACAAGACACATCTTACATAGGTCACTAGGCAGTCCCCAAACTGTCGCTGTTTCCCATCTCAGTCAATTCAGGAGAGAAGGAGTCATGAGTTTTACCATTACTCCTTAGAATCGATCTACAGAGGAAGATTTTACCAGCTCTTGTTCATATGTGTGTATATATAAATATATACTTACATATATTTCTCCTTTTATCCTTGTTCAAAACTGTAGCTAAGCAAGCACACCATACTAGTGCCATTGAATAGGTTTGTCAAAATAAGAGGAGGAAGGTGTCATGCTTCCTTTAGCTGTTTAAGTCAGCAGAACATATGAATGAACTCAGATAAGCATGATACTTCATTCAGAGTTTCAAAATTTCTACATGGTTTTCTACATTTACTAACTAATTAAGAAGGGACAATAGTGAGGAAGAGTCAGGGGGATGTACTTTTTCAAAATGAATGATATACAAAAGTATTCACCTTGCAGAATTCAGTGCAATAAGAGACAAGCAGACAAACATAATAAGAAACATGCACATATTTACAAGTCGCAGTACATGATATACAAAGACAAGACCAGCACAGTATTTTCTGTTCAGTGTGGAGTCAGAAGGATTACATGGCACACTCGGTTTTGTAGTTGAACTTTAAAACAAAACAAACAAAAAACACTTTGAAGGTATCCACAATCCAATCTTTTAACTGGAACATGGAATTTTCCCCTTATAACTTCTTGACCTCAATACCTTCAAAGAGTTTCTGTTATCTTCCAACATTGATTTTGAATGACACTTTACACAAAGATAGTCACAGAGGAGAGACTTGTATGCTATGAGTCCTTCTTGCAAATGATTACTGATGACCTGCTTTTTCTGACTAAAAGTTTTCAATTGTTTAAGCTTCTGACCGTCCGAGTATGCAGCATATGAAAAGATACTACCATGATTCCCGGGAAGCACAGGGTGCAAATCCTAAAGCACATAACAGAGAAGGACTGGACTTCACAAAATGAAGCCAATAGAGGCCATGTATTACTAACTGTCATAGTAACAAGAGTCTGCTTTAAGAAAGAAAAAACATTGCCTTTAAGGAGCCTTATCAGGAGTCCTGGTGTGGCACTGTGGGTTAATGCCCCAGACTGCAAAGCTGTTTGAACTACAAGGTCGGCGGTTCAAGCTCACCAGCTGCTCCTCGGAAACCCTACACACGGTCACTATGGGTCGGAATCGACTCGACGGCACTTAACAACAACAACATAAGGAATGCATGAGTATGAGATATTGTACCATGCAGAGATGTATTTATTTAGGCATTTTCTACCAGACAGCCTCTTTCACCCTCTGGTCAAGCTACAGAACACAGGAGAATATTGAACGGTAATAAGCTCCAAACACAACTCACTGTTATAAAGATCTGTAATGTTTTTAAGGAGGCTGAGGGAGAGGTTTGCATGTAATTTCTACAAATAATCATGGAAATTATTTATCTACTTCCTAGAGTTTGCAAATTAAGGGGCAAACTGAGTTATTGTAGGCAATATGGTATCTAAAGTATCATATAAAATGAACACATCACCTTTTTTTTTTTTTTTTTAGTGCAAAGAAAATATAGCAAGTAAGAAATCACACTATAAATCTAACTTCTTTCTTTAAAAGAAAATGCGCTTATGCATTCGTAACATCCATTAAGGGCACTGGGAAATTGGAAACCTGAATACACAAGGCCTGGAAAAAAATCAAGCCCTTAAGTCTAATGATTTTTGTATGTACACAATCACACAATCACAATTAAGTAGGATGAGCAGGGAAGCCTGTTCTTTCATTTTATTTGCAAAGGATAAACTGAAAGTGGATGAAATTCAGTCATTTTACAAATGTAAATTCATAGCTACAATCTTTTTTGTTGTCTGATAAAAGTATTCAATGAAATTCTATCCATGGTATATTATATATATATATGTGTGTGTGTGTATGTGTGTGTAGACAGAAAATTTTTAAATAATCATGAAAACAAGTGCCCAGCACTATAATATTAAAGTCTACTAAAAATGTATACTTAAAAGCAAATGAATAACCTACTGGTCAATAAGATAGGCCCTGAACTAAACTAATCTTTGTAAATTACAGCAAACACCAAAAATAGAAGTTCATTCACTAGGAGTAACAGGTAGAGATAGTGTACCTTGATTTCATTTTTCTGTATCTGGGAGAAGAATACCTTTCTACAAATAATTCTACTTTTCATACACTACCTCTGCAACAGAAGAGCATCAACTTAATACTGTACCAGAGGTTAATAGCAAATTGATTTTAAAAGATAGATTTAAATTGCCTAAAAGTATTTGAGAAAAAAAGGATGATTATAACTTGCCTTCTCTCCACCTATTTACCCATAAAGTTATTATGATAAACAGATGAGTAATCAAATGTGAACTGACAATAATGAAAAATAGTGCTCAAGATAAGTTTTCTGATGAATGTGTCCTTTCAAAAGAAGTATGAATGAGCACCAATCTTATCCATGTAAAATAAAATACAGTAAATAGATAAAGTATAGTTAATGGAATTCTACACAAAACTAGCCAATCTTGACATAAACTACAGCTTCTTATTTTAAAGAAAAACAGAAATAATAATACTATTATCAGATACCTATAATATACTTTCAGTATCTTTAAGAAATTCCTTGGAGATATATTTTATAAAGAATAAAGCTGGATCTAAAACCAAAGTTTATGTTTTTCTACTAGAAATTATGAAACTGAAATTTGATTAACTTTTTGAAAAAAATCTCTCTTTATGAAACAGCAGTAATTTATTCTCAGCAAAGTCACTAACTGGCAAAACAGGAAAGATTGTAAATAAAGTGTAAGAATTTTATTATCTAAAAAGTGTTCCAAAATAAAATATCAAGAGATCTGAATTTATGGTTGAAACCATCATATATGAATGTTACTACCAATAAAGAACTTGAAATGACTTTCAATTGAAAAATCAAACACATCTTTACATTTCCTAAAACCAGCCAAATATATATATACTTTAAAAAATCATATCCGTCTTAAATTTATTCGATATTCAAAAGTAGGGGTTGGAAAACCCACAGCACAGCTGTGGCAGGAGAACAAGCTTAACAGACAAGGTGATTCAACTGGGGAATAAAAAGAAGAAGGGGAAAGGTGGCATTTAAATGTGTGAACTCCACACGTGGAAATGAAGTTTATTGTTTGGGAGTATGTACATGCACACAAATACACACAAAGACACAAATAAGAACGTTTGTATTCCAGAAAACCTGCATTTCAGTAACTGAGGAACCTGGTAAAGAGGGAAATGCCCTGCAAAAAACTAGTGAAATTTAAAACAGACTATCCTACTAACAATGCACTGAGGTGGTGGCTCTAACGAACCCTTACAACACTCAGATCTCTGCTTATGTGTTTTTACAGGGATGGGAAGTAAAAGTTCAATCAAGTTCTTTATTTAGTAGTACATAAAAGTAAGAACATAATGGAAGATGAAATTTCTAAATAGTCATAGCTCTAAGTGGTCAGAACTTGGTTAAGATAAAAAGTTACTTCTGATAGGATAGTTAGGTCACATGCTGATAAATAGCTCAACATAAGTGACCTAGAAAAGCATTATGACCAAAGAAGTACATCCTTTCCTCCCCAGTTTTGACATCTCATGGTACCACAACAGGTTACAGGAATGTATTCATATCAAAAGGACCACAAAGCAAGGTATGTTGACATAAGGTAAACAACAGGCAGGTCAAGCTGCTCAAAGTGAGTATGATAATCACTGTACATAGCCCAGATTCTCCATCTCATTCCTGTACCGTTGTTCAGACACCTTGCTTTTATGTTGCTTGCTCTCTAAATGCTGCCGAAATTCCATCTCTTCGCCAGCTCCCACATTACACATTGAGCAGTAAAACTGACCACTGGGGGTAACACACATGGCCAGATCCCGTGGAATTCTCTGCCGAGATCGGGGATTGAAGTAAGGACCTGCTAAAACAAGAGATAAACATTACATGTATATTTACTTCAAAATATGCCTATCAACTATCATCATATTCTAGAATTCTAATCATTCAATTTCTAAATCAAAATTTATATATTCTTAGTTTTAAATGATGATGGAATTAAAATGAAAATTTTAATTACAACTTTATACCTCTTTAATCTAAAAGGATAAAATTAATCCTCCAACTACTGTCAGAAAGTCTACTTTAAAACAAATCATAAACTCTTAATGGCTATGTATCTTCAAAGTGAATCCAATTTTAAGAATACATTCATTTGTTTGTTTCAAGCATTATTTCAAATGGTTTATAATTAAAATAATTCTGACCCACCAAAAAAAAAAAAAAAATCTATCTCTAACAGTTTATCCAAATGAAATAATGAGGATTTCAGCACAGATAGTTAACCCATATTTATTTCAGCAATAACTGTAATAGCAAAAACTGGTGGAGGAAAGGAGAAGAAGGGGACAAAAAAGGATTAGAAAACATATGACAATGAATACAACAGAATATTATACAGTCACAAAAAGTAATGCCAGAGAAATCTTCAATTTCATGAAAATCTGATTACACAATACTATTAAGCAAAATAAATACATCAAAATATAATCCTATGTATAGTTTAAAGACATAATATACATGTAAAGCACTGGTAGGATATATACAGGAATTTTGGTGAAATGACTGATAACTTTATTTTCCTCTTTTTACATGAATAACTTCATGTATTAGCCCTTTAGTACATTAATTTTCTGATTTTCTAATACAATAATAAATACTTATGAGTATAAAATTTATCATAATATTAGTTTCACTTCATCTTAGAAGTTTTGATATATCTGAACTACTGTTCAAAAATAATTTTTAATTTTCAATGATTTCTTCTTTGACTCATGAGCTATTTAAAAGTGTTTTAAAATTTCTAAGCAAATGAATATCTTGTGTTTTTGTTTTTTATTACTGACATCTTATCTAAGTGCACTCCAGTCTGAGAACTTTGTCTATATGCTTCAATTTTTGACATTTATTGAAACTTGCTTTATGCCTAGTACAGTTTTTGTAAATGTTACATATATGCTTGGATAAATGCCTATGCTTTATTGGGTACATGAGTTTGCTGTTGTTAAGAGTCATCAAGTCGGTTCTAACTCATAGTGATCTTGTATAGGGTTTCGAGCAGCTGGTGGATTTGTGTGGTTCACTGTCCGGTGCTGATCCACAGCGCCACACCAGAAGTCTGGGGGAACTTAGTATATACAAGCATATATATATTCAGTAAATCATTCATTATATTAGTCAAAACTATACCAGTTTTTTGTTTTGTTTTGTTTTGTTTAACTTGGTCAACAGTACATGAGTTGTTGGTAAGCACTGTAGAGTCAGTTCTGACTCCTAGCAACCCTGTATAGGGTTTCAGAGGACTGGCTGGTGAATTTGAATCGCTAATCTTGTGGTTCAAACCCTTAGCAACCCTGTATAGGGTTTCTGAGGCCTGGCTGGTGAATTTTGTGGTTCAAACCAACCTTGTGGTACAGTGCTTATCCCACAGAACCACACCAGGACAGCTTAGTTCTTGAGAGATAGCTTGAAATCTCCCAATACGATGAGGGATTTGTCAATATATTCCTACGGTTCTATTGATTTTAACTTTATATGCTTTGAGACTTAATTAGGAGCACAAACTTTTAAATTACTCTTTCTTTCTCTGTTCCTAATAATTAATACCTTCTATCCTAACATTTCTTTCATCTTATAGTAATACAGCTCTCCTAACTTCCTGCATTTTATCTGAATTCTTTTTAGCCAACCTAAAAATCTTTTGTCTTTTACTGGGACTTCAATAAATTAATGCTTATTATAATTACTAAGGAGTCCTGGTATGGCACTGCAGGATAATGTACTGGATCACAGGGTCGTTTGAACTTCAAGGTCAGCAGTTCAAACCTCACCAGCCACTCCTCGAAAACCCTATACAGAGTCGCTGTGAGTTGGAATCAACTACTTTTCACAGTAGTGTCTTCTGCTGGTGTACTGGTGGGTGTTTGTTTTACAGGTTTGTGGGAGGTAGTCTGTGTAGAAGGAACTGCTCAGTCCTACTGAAAATAACCAGAAAGCGCAGAAGACATTCCCAGAATGGATGGTATATACCAGAGTCACTGAGGAAACAATTGTAATGATTGAAAGTCTGAGGCACAGCTCAGGCACGTATATTTGGTAGTAACTCCCCAGGAGATTTTGAGTTGCTACTTTAGTTAAATATCACTGTTATGGTCATCTGTCTACCCCACAAAATGAGAATTTAATATGGTGCAAATTTAACCAAATAACCCATTTTTATAGTTCATTTGCTCTTTCTCAACTGGCATATATTGGAAGAAACATAACTGGACTATGATAAGAAACCTTAAAATAAAGAGTATCTTTTAAACCAAAGTAAGTCATACACCAAATGAGAAATAAATAACACTTGAAATAAATACCAGCCTGAAAAGGCACTGGGCCAATGAAACTAAACAACAACTAATCCCAAACTCTCAGGACTATCTGTTACCATTATAGGAAATAAAATAAAGTAGATCATCTAGAGAATGTAGCCACGATATGTGGACCAACACAAGATACCTGAATTATTCTGTACTGCGTACATATTTCTCCTATTAGGCATCATCTTATATTCATTCCCTTCTTTCCGGGTCCTCCGCTGACCCACATCTGAGGAGTCCCTGGAGAAAAGAAATTTTAAAAGAATGAGACTTTTTAAACAAGGATCCCTTTCAACTCTTTTCATTTAAAAACATTAAATCTCACACAATACTTTGGCTTCAGAAAAAAACGGCAATACCTACGAGAATGAGTTACTCTGAGCTTCTGCCAGCCGCAGCCGTTTGGCATGATTCTTCCCTTGATAGTGAGCCTGGGCCACAGCTGGAGAACTAAAGGAGGCATCACAGAGCTTACAGTAATCATTCTCTGTGGCCAGGATCACTCTGCCTCCCGGCTTACAGGAGCCCAGCTAACAGCAAAGACACAAGGAGAAACAGGGTTAAAAAAATGAGGTGTTTATTTCCTTCTTCTCTTCAAAGTTCCATCTAAAAGCTATGAAAAAAACAAAAGCATAGAATATGACATGACCACAAGCACTCAGCTTTATAAGGAAAAAAACAATGAGCTGAGAAACATTTAGTTATAGTTTTGCATTATAATCACCTATGTTCTAGCAAAGCCCTGATAGCATAGTGCGTAAGCACTGGGATGCTAACTGTGAGGTCAGCAGTTTGAATCTATCAACTCTTCCGCAAGAGAAATATCAGGCTTTCTGCTCCCATAAAGATTTATTGCCTTAGAAACCTTATATAGAGTTGCTATGAGTTGGAACTAACTCCTTGGAACACCACCACCACCACCATACGCTATCAGAAAGTTACTGGTTCATCGGTAACTCCACTAAGCAACAAGAAAATGAGTTTCCATCATGAAAGAGTCTATGGTTTTCAGACTCTTTCTCAACCCGGGGTGCCAGCTGATCAGGCAGTGCTTCATTCTGCTGTGCATAAGGTCACTATGAGTCGGCACCTAGATAAGACCTAGAACGATTACCAGAAAAGGTGAAGTCTCCCCAAATCCTTCAACAAACATGTACTGAATGCCTAACAATTCTAGGATTTGCTGCCTTTTGTTGTTAGGTGCCACTGAATCAGTACCAACAATTCTAGGATTTGCTGCCTTTTGTTGTTAGGTGCCACTGAATCAGTACCAACTCATAGCAACCTTATGCACAGCAGAATGAAACACTGCCCAATCCTGGGCCAACCTCACTACTGTTACCAAGCTTGAGTCCATCAATGCTGCCACTTGGCCAATCCATCTCACAGGGGGTCTTCCTCTTTTTCTCTGACCCTTCACCTTACCAAACATGATATCCTTCTCCAGCGACTGGTCCCTCCTGACAATATGTCCAAAGTATGAGAGACGAATTTTAGTCATCTTGGCCTCCAAGAAGCACTATGGCTGCATTTCTTCCAAAACAAATCTATTGGCTGCCTAGTCTAGATTAAATACGTATACACAAGAAAAATAGTCCTACATAGCCCTACCTCTCAGAGAGTCCACAAACTAGCTACAGAACTATTATATAATCCAGGGGAAATAACCCACAGAATCAGGCAACTGTACTCAGGTTGGGGCACTCAGGTTGGCACGTAGTAGGTACTCAAATATTCTGGGGTTAATATTCAAATAGCAAATTATTCTTCAGATAGAGAGGATAATACATGTAACAGTTGCTGTCGAGTTGATTCTGACTCATGATAACCCCATGTATATCAGAGTAGAACTGTGCTCCATATTTCAATGGCTGATTTTTCAGAAGGCCTTCCTTCCAAGGCACCTGAATACATTAGTCATTTGCACCACCCCGAGTTGAGAAAGAGTCTGAAAACCATAGTATATCAGGAACACTTGAAGGAAGTAGCACTGCATTACCTGGAAGTAAAGTTTTTTGTTTTGTTTTGTTTTGGGGTGTGGGGGGAGAAGGCAGACAGAGTTTTGTTGTTGTTAAGTACTGTCAAGTTCAAACTTATAGCGATCCTGTATACAAGCTGGTGAGCTTGACCTGCCGACCTTGCAGTTCATATGGACTTTACAGTCTAACGCATTAACCTGCAGCACCATACCTGGACTCTGTAGACAGAATAGCTTATCTTTAAAAAATCACAAAGAGCTAAACTACGAACAGGGGCTTAGGCAATTTGCCCAGGAAAGTAGAACCAACTGTAAACAGTCCCAAATAGGAAGCAGCCATCAATGTGTCACCAGGAACTAGCAATGTGGAAATTCCTCAGCTTAAAGATCTCTCTAGATATTTCCCCACCCTCTGATAGTGAATTGTTCCCAACATCCACGTGGATGAGGGAACAGCTGGTATTGCTAGCTATACCTTAAGAACTGGAAACTGACCTTAAGAAAGGCAAAATTATACCATGGTGCTTAGGAGCAGAGGTCTAAGACTCAAAAGAAACTCTTGCTCCACCACTTTACAAAATGTGTAATGTCATCAACAAATTAAATTACTTACCTGAGCCTCTAATAAGCCCAGTCATTGTTGTTGGGTGTTGTTAACATATAGTAACCCCATGTGACCAAGTAGAACTGCCCCACAGGGTTCCCTAGGCTATAATTTTCATAGACTCAGTTTGCAAGTCTTTTCTCCCAAGGGTCTACTGGTTCAAACTACTGACCTTCCTGGTTAGTGGCTAAGTACTTAATCATTGTGCCATGAGGGCTCCTTAATAAGTTCCTAAGACTAAAGGTCCCAACAAGATGGATTGGCCAAGTGGCAGCATCGATGGACTCAAGTGTAGCAACAGTAGTGAGGCTGGCCCAGGATCGGGCAGTGCTTCATTCTGCTGTGCATAAGGTCACTATGAGTCAGCACCGACTCGATGGCACCAAACAACAACAACAAGACTAAAGGACTCCTAGTGTGGTGCTATAAGATAAAAACTGGACTGTGAAGCACAAGGTTGGCAGTTCAAACACATACCAGCTGCTCCTCGGAAACCCTATATAGAGTCGCTATGAGTCAGAACCAACTCGATAGCACTTAAAAACAACAAGACTCTTAAAGGAGTCCTGGTGGCACAGTGGCTAAAAGCTGGTTGCTAACCTAAAGGTCAGCAATTCAAAATCACCAGCCATTTCACAAGAGAAAGATATGGCAGTCTACTCTGAGAAACATTATGGTCTTGAAAACCCAACAAGGCAGTTCTATTCTGTCCTATAGAGTCACTACAAGTCAAAATTGATGCAACAAGCAACAGATTTTTGGGTTCACTGGGGGCTAATGCGTCAGACTGCAAAGTTGTTTGAACTGCAAGGTTGGTGGTTCAAGCTCACCAGCTGCTCCTTGTAAACCCTATACAGGGTCGCTATGGGTCGGAATTGACACTTCACAACAACAGCAATACTGAGAACATTCACCCTGTGACTAAAGGAAGGTAAGATAGGCACTCACTTCCAACACCAAAAACCTCAGAAATCTAGATAAATACTATTTCAATAGAAGTAAATATATTAACAGAACATCTTATAAAATCAACCTAATACCACCTGCCCCCCCCCAAAAAAAAACAATACCCAATGAACAAGATGTCAAAATTTAAAATAAGGACAGGATCAGTAATAATGTCATGCCAAACATTGGCTACTAACCTCAAGGTCAGTAGTTTGAAACTACCAGCTGTTCCATAGGAGAAAGATGAGGCTTTCTGCTCCCATAAAGATTTACAGCCTCAGAAACCCTGTGCAGGGTCACTATGAGTGGGAACCGACTCTATGGTACTTAACAACAACAACAACCCAGATTGAAGTCTGACAAAAAAAGAAATTCAATAATACTCAGCCTGCGGTTACTTAAAATATTGACATTTGGTTCGAAGTTTTACATTAATTTTGATGCCTTAATACACTGCCTTAAATATTAGTTATGTTTATAATTGCGTATGAGCACCCCTTTAAATTTTGTGCCTGAAATGAGTGCTTTCTTACCTCACATAGTCCCAACCCTGAATAAATGAATATAGAAAAACTATTTAGTAGAGTGACTATCAACAAGTACTCAACTAGGTTGTAGTTGTTGTTGTGTGCCACTGAGTTGGTTCTGCCTCCTAGTGACCCTATATAGGGTTTCCAAGGAGCAGCTGATAAGTTTGAATCACTGACCTTGAGGTTAGCAGTTCAATGATTATCCTATAGTACCACAACAGGACTCTTCAACTAAGTTATTTAAGAGAATTCTATCATTCTAGGAACATAGAATACTTCAGAGATTTTAAGGAGCTGAATCCATAGTCAGAGGCTAAATTGCAGGAATATCTCCCCTAAATCACCTGTTTTCCTCTTCCAAATAAACTAAAGAGTAAATCCTCATACCAAAGTCTAGAGAGGTTATATGTGATATCTACATAGAGGTAAGAAAGTGGCAAAATCAAGAACCCCATCTTGCAATTGGAAGACAAAATATAAATGGCGTTTACTAAAATTAAAAAAAAAAAAACATATGCCTAAGAATTTCTCTTTTAATCTAGGTCTTAGCCTATTCAGGGTCCTGTAACAAAGACAAAAAAAAAAACCAGTATCTGTTCCATCATTTAATGCATTACAACTGAAACCAGTGAGAAATGTCAAGGCTTATAGAAGTACCATGTTGGTCCGTGGTCCTAATGCATTTGCCCAACTGTATCCTGAGGGGTGTTCAAAACATTCTGTACATAACCATAGGTTCCACCTTAACGCTGTTTCATCCTGACACTTGAAAGTGATTTCTGGCATGGGTTAACCGCGTCAAATTTCTCACCTGTGGAGTGACTGAAACAACCGGAGTAGCTGTGGGCTCCACTGCATTGCTCATTCTGGCAGGAGGAGGACAGCTATTCGCTGCATAGTAATTTCGGAGTTTCTTACCATGATTTTTACCCTAGAAGTAAAATACAACAAGTAATCACCATGAGGGAATTTTGTCAGACCAAGATAAAAATGTGTTCACTCAAAAAAATAAATAATCAATAATAATAATTACATTTTGTTTTCTCAGACAGTCACACATTTGGGGTTAACAGACTACTAGCTAGATTTTGATTACTTTTTTTTTTTTCTTTTTTAAGAGTGTGTTCCTCTGCAATAACAAAAAAAGGCCCTGAGCCAGATGGCCTAAATGGAGAATTATACCAAATAATCAAAGAAGATTCATAACCACCTCATGCACAACAGAACAAACTACTGCCAGGCCCTGTGCCATCCTCACAATTGTTGCTATGCTTGAAGCCACTGCCGCTGCCATGGTGTCGATTCATCTTGTTTGGGGTCCTCTTCTTTTTTGCTGATTCTCAACTTTACCAATCATGATGTCCTTCTCCAGGGACTGGTCCCTCCAAACAAGAAGTCCCAATTATGAAAGACTATGTCTTGCCATCTTTGTCTCCAAGGAGCATTCTTGCTGTACCTCTTCCAACACAGACTTGTTTGTTCTTCTGACAGTCTATGGTACTTTGGATATTCTTCGACAACACCGTAACTCAAATGCATCAGTTCTTCTATGGTCCTGCTTAGTCACTGTCCAATTTTCACATGTCTATGAAATAACTGAAAGTACCATGGCTTGGGTCAGGTGCACCTTAGTCCTCAAACTGATACCTTTTCTCTTTTAACACTTTAAAGAGGTCTTGTTCAGCAAATCTGCCTAGTGCAATATGTCATTTGATTTAACCGCTGCTTCCATGAGTGTTAACTATTGAACCAAGATAAATGAACTCTCTGACAGCATCAATCTTTCCTCCATTTATCAAGATGTTGTGAGGATTTTTGTTTTCATTACATTAAGGTACAATCCAAACTGAAGACTGTGATGTTTGATCTTCATCAGTAAATATTGTAAGTCCTCTTCACTTTTCAGCAAGCAAGATTGTATCATCTACATAATGCAGGTTGTTAATGATTCGTCCTCCAATCCTGATGCCATGCTCTTTTCATAACTTAAAGAAAAGTTGACTCCAATTCTATTGAAAGTATTCCAGAACATAGAAAAGGAGGAAACATGCTGTAATTCATTCTATGAAGCCAGCATAATCCTGACACAAAAGCCATGCAAAGACTGTACAAAAAAAGAATATTACACACTAATATTCCTCATGAATGGGGTGCATGGTGGCTCTGTAGGATAAGCAGTGTACTACAATCCATAAGATCAGCAGTTTGAGTACGTCAGCCACTCCAGGAGAAACATGATACTTTCTGCTCCCACAAAGATTTTGAGCCTCAGAAACCCTGCACAGGGTTGCTATGAGTCAAAACGGACTCCACCACACTTAACAACAACAACAATTCCTCATGAAAACAGATACAAAAATTCTCAATAAGGAGGCAAAATGGTAGAGTAGCCAGATGCACTGGGCTGATCCTCTGCAACAAAGACATGAGAGACTGAATGTAACAGATACAGAGGATGATCCTGGAACCCTAAGGATCAGAGGACAGGACAGAGAGATTAACTGAGTACAGACTGCAATAAGAAGCTGAACAGGAACAGTGAGAGAAAAGAAAAACAGGCAGACTATGGCACAAAGCATGTGGCCATCTTGAGCTTTTGCTAGTGGTGAAATGCAGCACCGGAGGCACTCATTCATCTATGCCAAGAAATTCGGAAGACAGGTAACTGGCCAGCTGATTAGAACAAATCCATATTTGTGCCCATTCCGAAGAGAGGCGACTCAATGGAATGCAGAAATTATCAGACAATATCATTACTATCATATGCAAGTAAAAGTTTGCTAAGGATCATTCAAAAATGGCTGCCACAGTACATTGACAAGGAACTTCAAGAGGTTCAAACCTGATTCTGGCAAGGACATAGAACAAGTGATATCACTACTGATGTCAAGCAGATCTTGGCTGACAGCAGAGACTATAAAAAAGACGTTTACCTGTGCTTTACTGAATATGCAAAGACTTTCAACTGTGTGGATAATAACAAGCTATGGACAACATTGCAGAGAATGAGTATTCCAGAACACTTAATTATACTCATGAGGAACCTGTATATATGCCAAGAGGCAGTTGTTAAAACACGGCAAGGGGACACTGAATGGTTTAAAATTAAGAAAGGTGTGTACCAGGGCTGTATTCTTTCGCCATACTTATTCAATCTGTATACTGAAAAATAATATGAGAAGCTGGATTATATGAAGAATGTGGCATCAGGATAGAAACACTGATTAACAACCTGAGATATGCAAATGATAACAACCTTACTTAATGAAAGTGAAGACTACTGAAAATCCTTACTGATAAAGATCAGAGACCACATCCTTCAGTTGGATTGCACCTCATTGTAAAGAAAACGAAAATACTCACCATTGGACCAATAAATAGCATCATAGTAAATGGAGAAAAGATTGAAGTTGTCAAAGACTTCATTGTGCTTGGATCCATTCATGGAAGCAGCAGTCTAGAAATCAAACGACGCTTTGCATTAGGCAAATTTGCTGCACAAGACTCTTTAAAATGTTCAAGAGCAAAGATATCAGATCGAGGACTAAGGTGTGCCTGATCCAATCCATGGTATTGTCTGTAGTCTCATATGCATGTGAAAATTGGACCATGAATAAGGAAGACCATAGAAGAATTGATGCATTTGAGTTATGGTGTTGAAGAAAAAATTGTAAGTATCATGGACTGCTAGAAGAACAACAAAAAAAAATCCGTGTTTGAAGAAGTACAGCTAGAATGCTCCTCAGAAGCCAGGATAGACAGATTTTGTCTCTCATACTTTGCACATATTATCAGGAGAAACCAGTCCTTGGAGAAGGATATCATGTTTGGGAAAGTGGAGGGTCAAATAAAAACAGAAAGGCCCCCAATGAGATGGATTGGCACAGTGGCAGCAGCAATGGGCTCAAGGTTGACAATGACTGTGATGACGGCACAGGACTGGAGAGCATTTCATTCTGCTATGTATAGGGTGCTATGAGTAGGTACTGACTCAACAGCACCTAACAACAAAAACAACACGGATATAGCACTCTTCAGACACAGGACTTGGCGAAAGGTTGCTGTCAAACAGACATCTGCACAGCTATGTCCCTTGTAGCATTATTTGCAATAGCAAAAAGGTGAAAACAACCTAAGTGTCCATTAATAACTGAATGGATAAAAACCATGTTACATACATACAAAGGAATACTGCACAACTCTAGAGAATAAAGAGGAGTCGGTAAAACATCTTATAATGTGGATGAATCTAGAGGACATTATGCTAAGTGAAATAACTCCATCAAAAAAGGATAAATATTATATGTTCTCACTATTACTAAGAATCAATAATAGGTATACACATGGAAAGCAATGTTCTTTAATGGTTACTAGGGTGAGGTAGGGGAGATCACTTTCTAGATAGTTGTCATGGATTGAATTATGTCCCCCAGTTGTGTCAGCTTGGCTGGGCCATGAGTTTCAGTGGTTTGGCAATTATGTAATGACCCACCCCCACCCCCCGCCAACTACGTGACCTGATGTGATAAATCTTTAAGAGGACTAAGGGTGGGATGCACCACCCTCAATCCCTTTACAACTCTGATCCTATATAAGGGGATTTCCCAGGAGTGTGGCCTGCAATACTTCTTATCTTAAAAAAGATAAAAGGAGAGAGAATTGAGCAAAGAAAGGTTACCCATTACCAGACAGGAGTGGAGTGTGTCCTTTGGACATGGGGTCCCTGCACTGTGAAGCTCCAAGATTCAAGGAAAGACTGATGCCAAAACACACAAAGAGATGAGATCCAGGGTGTGCTTAGCATACAGGCGCTGAAAGGAGATAAGGACTTTTCTCCAAAGCCAGCATTGTGAATTTGGACTTGCAGCCTCCTAAACTGTAGGCTAGAATACATTTCTGCCCGTTAAAGCCAAAAATTATGGTATTTCTGTTATTTGTTGTTGTTTTTTAGTGCCATTGAGTGGGTTCCAACTCATAGCGACCCTGTATAAGAGTTTCCAAGGAGCGGTTGGTGTATTTGAACCACCAACCTTGTGGTTCAAACCAACTTTGTAGTCCTGTGCCTTATCCTATAACACTAAATAACCATGACAATGTCTACTATATGTAGATGAAAACATTAAGAAGCACACAAGATTAAGAGACAATTTCAGTTAAGTGTTATATAATGTTTTGCAACAGCAGTAATGTTGTTGCTGTTAAGCGCCATCAAGTCAGTTCTGACTCATAGCCACCTTGTATAGCGTTTCTGAGGAACAGCTGGAGGGTCTGAACCACCAACTTTGTGGTTTATGGTCCAGTGATTATCTTATAGTGACACACCAGGAGTCCACAGTAATAACAACCAAAAATGTATGTGGTAACATAGGTAAATATATATGAATGAATATAAGTATATAGGCATATGTATTTATATGTTTGTGTGTGTGAATATACACACTGTATGTCTCTCTGTGTGTGTATATAT